CCCGCTTCTCAACTTGTTGGTGATTGTTGACGCTCTGTGGTTTTTTCATGTGCTCATGACGGCTGCATTCTCACGGTATGCGCCCACGTGTGTGTGTGTGTGTGTGTGTACAGCAAAGTGAAGGACCCCATGGGCTACGTGAACTTGCTCTCCAAGCTGAAGCTCAAGGACATTGGCCTCGAGGTCAGCACATTCTCCCCACCATACTCACCTCACCCGCCCACTGCTCATGCAGTGATGCCATTGTCCTGTCATTTACGATGTGTGTTCGCACCCTTCACTTGCATCACTGCCGCTCTTCTTCGCTGACGGCTCGTGACCCACCCACCCACCGGCACGACACATGACTAACCCAACACCGTACTCTCTTTGCATTCACATTCAACCACCACCCTCACCTCACCCGTCTACGGTACCAACTGTTGCTGTGTGCAGCTGCCTGCGATTGCCGAGTTTTCGACCAACGAGACGATGGGCCACAGCGCAGACCGGCTTGCATCCGCGTTTGGCGTCACTAGGCAGGAACAGGTGCGCACACACCTGCATAAGCTGTTGCAAGGGGGGGTAGAAATGCCTTGTCCACCATCCCACTCGTGTGTGAACGCACGCGCGCGCGCACGCACACACACAACACACGCACGCACACACACACACACATACGTACACACACACACGCACGCACGCACACACACACACGTCTGATACACCCCTTTTCTTCCCTTCCGCCACCGCCACCACCACCACCACCACATCCAGGACGAGTTTGCGCTGCGTTCGCACACGCTTGCGCGGGATGCGTTTGAGGCGGGTCACCTGAAGGACCTGGAGCCCATCTACTCGGCCCGCGCAAAGGGGTTTGTCACCCGCGACAACGGCGTGCGCGTTGGCACGATGGACAAGCTGCAGAAGCTCAAGCCGTCGTTTGTCAAGCCGCACGGCACCATCACCGCTGCCAACTCGTCGTACCTCACCGACGGTGCGCGATTGTGATTGGATGCGTGATGGGGATGGGGGTGGAAGATGTGGTGGATGGGTGCTGTTCGTGTGTGCGTGCGTGTGTGTGTGTGCGTGTGTGTGTGTGTGCGTGTGTGTGTGTGTGTGTGCGTGTGTGTGTGTGTGGAAAGGGAAGCGGAGAGGAGGGACTGTCACCATGCCACCGTTTCCATTGTCATGACTGCTGTGACCCCCTTCCCTCATCTTCCGTCCATGTGCTTCATGTGTACGTGTGCGGTGTGGTAGGTGCGTCTGCGTGTCTGCTGATGACGGACGACAAGGCGAAAGAGCTTGGCTACAAGCCGCTCGCGTACCTCCGCAACTACGTCTTCGTCGCACAGGTGCGGTGCACACGCCATCACCACCCGCCTGCATGCAATGACGTCAGCGCTGTTGACTGTTACGCAACACGCACACATACACGAAAAAACTCATGCATGTGCTCAAACGACGCCTCTATGTGTGTCACTGCGTGTGTTTGTGTGCGCGCGTCTTCCCCCCCCGTACGTTCTCACCCTTGATCGTGCACACACACATACACACACACACATACACACACACACACACACACACACACACACACACACACACACACACATACACACGCACACACCATCACCACCACCGCCACCACCCCTGGCACCATGTGAATGGTGTTGTCACCACCACCAAGGACCCCAAGGAGCAGCTGCTGCTGGGGCCGACGTACGCAACGCACAAGCTGCTCAAGCAGACGGGCCTGACCCTCAAGGACATTGACGTGTTTGAGTTCCACGAGGCCTTTGCCGGCCAGATTATCGCAAACCTGAACGCCCTCAACTCGGACAAGTTTGCACAGGAGTACCTTGGAGAAAGCCAGAAGGTGCACACCTTGCTGCTCGCTGCTTGGGTGTGGTGTGTTGTGGCGTTGTGATGTTGTGTGTGTGTCGTTTGGTATTGGGTGCGGCGACGATGATACTCATGCGGGTTGATGTTGTTCTCCTTCTTCTTGCTGGTTTGAGCTCACTTGCTCAGTCACTCAGTCAGTCAGTCAGTCAGCCAGTCAGTCACTCAACTCACTCACTCAACTCGCTCTCTCACCACCGCCATCGACTGGACATGTAGGTTGGCGAGATTGACATGAACAAGTTCAACAACTGGGGCGGGTCGTTGTCGCTGGGTCACCCCTTTGGCGCCACGGGCGTTCGCCTTGTCACCACCGCCGCACACCGCCTCCATGCCGTACGTCCACACCACCCTTTGCTGTGTCGTGTCATGTGGTTGTGGCTGTGGTTGTGGTTGTTGCTGTGGTTGTGGTTGTGGTTGTGGTTGTGGTTGTGGTTGTGGTTGTACGCTTGGTATCGTGTGTGTGTGTGTGTGATCCCCCGTCAGTTGTACGCTTGGTATCGTGTGTGTGTGTGTGTGTGTGTGTGTGTGTGTGTGTGTGTGTGTGTGTGTGTGTGTGTGTGTGTGTGTGTGTGTGTGTGTGTGTGATCCCCTGTTGTGTATCAATGTGCCCTTGCTACTGCTGCCGTTGTCATCACCCCCGGTACCATTGCCACGCCTCACCACCATTTACCCCTCCACCCTCCCGACCTCATCGTGTGGTGTGCAGGAGGACGGCAAGTATGCGCTTGTTGCCGCGTGCGCTGCTGGCGGTCTCGGCCACGCGATGATCGTGGAGCGCGCATAAACGCACACACATGCACACAACACGCAACACACGACACGCAACACACGCACGTGCACACACATGCGCACGCACCGCACACACATGCGCACGATGCACACACATACACACTGTACTTGGAAACGCCTGTGAATGGCGTTGTTGTCGTGCTTGTCGTGATTACTGCTGCTGTGATTGCTGGTGTGACTGAGCTTGTGGTTGTGGTTGTTTTGTCTTGTGTGTTGTTCCCCTGTCGCTTTCTTGGCGTTTCTGACAAGTCGAAGCCCCCCCCCCCCCTACTTGCTACTCCTTTGTTCGTCATGGGTTGTGTGGTGTTGTAACGTGTGCTTCTCAGATGTGTGTTACCACCCTCTCTGGTGTCTCGTGTCTGTCCTTGCCTTCTGCCCTTTGCCTTGTTTCCCTTACTGTCTTGGTCGGTTGCGTCTTCGAGGTGCCTCCCGCACAGTCCTTCCTTCCTTCTTCTTCCTTGTGCCTCCCCCCGCCCCTCTCATGTCTCCCTGATCCCCATCCCTCAGTCCTTCCTTCCTTCTTCTTCCGTTACTAGCCTGTCATTCCCCCCATACACCACCACCGCAGCCACCAACAAAGACAAGGAAGAGAGGGGAGGGGGAGGAGAGTGGGGGGGGGGGAACGGAAGGCGAAGCCACCACATTGTCACATCACATCATGTCACATCACACACACACACACACACACGTCACATCATTTCATCACCTGAAGTCCTTCCTCCAAAACACCAACGCCAGTGATTATGGGTACGTGTTGATGTGGAAGCGGGGTGCTTCGTGTGTGCTTGGTGTGTGTTGTGTTGTCAGCTACCATCGCCCTTCACCATCATGCTTCATCACAACCATCACAATGGTAGCGGAGAGCGTGGACGACTTTGTTGCTGGCATCGTCGGCGGCGTGGCTGGCCTTGTTGTTGGCCATCCCTTCGACGTCATCAAGGTGTGCATGTATGTGTGCGTGCATGTGTGTATGTATGCATGCGTGTGTGTGTGTATGTGTATGTGTGTGTGCGTGCGTGCGTATGTGTGTGTGTGTGTCTTTGAACCTCTCCACTCCACTCCACACGCACACACTCTGTTTCATGGGCGCGTGGAAGACGGACAAGGCCCGACACACACACACACATACAGACCCACACCCACACCCACACAGACACACATATACACACACACACACACACAAACAGACATAGACACACACACACACACACAGACACACACATAGAGACAGACAGACATAGACACACACACACACAGACACACACACAGACAGACAGACAGACAGACAGACAGACTCACACACACACACACGTACGCGTGCGCTCTGTCCTTCCACACGTTCACCAAAACCCTTCTTCTCCCAACATGTCACCCTTTGCTGCATCAGGTTCGTCAACAAACACACCACGGCCAGTACTCGATAGGCAGGGCAGCGGTCGACCTGGTGCAGAAAGAAGGCGTGCGATCGCTCTTCCGCGGCATCGGCCCGCCCGTCTTTGGTCAGTGGCAGTGGTGGCAGTTGTATGGAGGCATGTGTCACGTTGGTGACAGTGGTATGCAGTGGTGTGCGCCAGTGTGCAGTGGAGATGGGAACAGGCCAGACACCATGTGTGCTGCGCGACCCTTGCGTGACAGAGCTACTGAGCGACGTGAAGCAGCTTGCGCATTGGTGTTAACATAGCTAGCAACATTGCTTTCCTTTCACTGTGATGGATGGCGTGGCAGGGGTCGGTGGCCTGAACGCGGTTCTGTTTGGCACATATGGGTTGGCTGCGCGCATGCTCACGGGCAAGCCGCACGCCAGGGATGAGCTCACCCTCGGCCAGTCTTACGTGGCAGGTGCGTTGGTGTGATGGCGTGATGGCGTGTGTGTGTGTGTGATTGTGTGTGTGTGTGTGACGGTGTGTGATGGTGTGTGTCACTGCTTGAGGAAGACTGGGTCACCTGTGACAACTGTGCAGTGCTGCTGCTGCCGACATCATTCCACTCATCCACCACCATCACCTGTTGTGTGCAGGCACTGTGGCTGGGATTGCATGCTGCACCATCACTGCGCCCACGGAGCTGCTCAAGTGCCGCGCTCAGGTAACCACCAGCATCATCTTGTGTGTCTCGTGTACAGGTAGCATCAGCACATGCGCGTGTTCGTTAATGGCACAAAGGTGACACGACGCTTCCCGTCATACACACACACACACACACACACCTGTGTGCACCGTGGTATAGGCGGCAACAGTCGCCAAGTCACTCCCCCACAAAGCCGGACAGTCGCCGGCAAGCACGCTGTATCAAATGAGGGCTGTCATCAGGGACTTTGGTGTCCTTGGACTCTTCAAGGTTCGTCTTTGCTTGCATGCACATGTGCACGTGTGCGTGTTCATGTGTGTGTGTGTGTGTTTGCGCGTGTGCCGTTGGTGTGTACACGTGTCGATTACGACGTTGCTGCACATGCACCAGCCACCCTTTCACAGCTCGTTGTGTCCACACATACACACGCATCCATGTGTTATGATGATGGTGACAGGGCTGGTGGGTAACTGTGCTGCGTGACGCGCCAAGCTTCGGTGTATACTTCATCACATACGAATCCCTCAAGCGCAGGCTAACAAACGGCGACCCAGACCCAGGTACGTGTGCGCGCGCGTGTGCGTGTGTGTGTGTGTGTGCGTGTGTGTGTGTGTGCGTATGTGTGCGTGTGTGTGTGCGTGTGCGTGTGCGTGTGCGTGTGCGTGTGCGTGTGTGTGTGTTTGTGTGTGTACGTGTGCGTGTGTGTGTGTGTTTGTGTGTGTACGTGTGCGTGTGTGTGTTTGTGTGTGTGT